CCCCGCCCGCCTCCTGTTCCCACTCCCCCATTCCCACTCCTCTTCCTAGCCACAGAACTCTGTCCCCACTCCCCTGTCCCCAGCCACAGAATGTCTCCATTCCCCGAACCCTGTCCCCATTCCCCTATCCCGAGCCACAGAACTCTGTCCCCACTGGCACCCTGTCTTGCCAAAGCACCCACTAGCACCCTTCCCCAGTACTATGTCCCCTGTTCCCACCAACACAGTTGGGGCCACATTAGTGACTCTTGGGAGGGGTTTGCATCTCACTTCTGTGGCCCCAACTGACTTTTCTTGGGTCAGTGACCCCTGACTCAAGGCAGGTACCCTGCCCTTCTCGGAAATAAAGACAATGCAGAAACTTTTTGTTTGACAGTATTTTATTTAAAAATGAAGCCTAGCCAACAAACCCCAAATTGGGACTAAGAACCCATCTGGTCACAGCATCATAACACTCCTGTGCTCCCCTTTCCCCAAACCCTACATCGGAGCCTATCATACACTGGAACCCCCTGCTCTGAGCCCCTCACATACCCCAACCCAAATTCCTGAACCCTCACATCCAGAAGTCTGTGGCTTCCTTAGTACCCTAACCCTACATCTGACCCCAACACTGCCCAGCCTGGCGCCCTCTCCCCGTGCCAGTGTCCCCTTATCCACCTTCTCCTGCATCCAGATTTCCCCCAGAGCTTGCACTTCTCACCCCTTCCCACACCCAAATCCCTCATTCCCACCCCCAGAGCCTACACATCTTGTCTCAATCCAGGGAGCATACAGCTAGACTGCAGGAGTTTTTCAGGATTCCAGAATTTTTCAGGATTCAGGATTCTTCCACTTCTTTTAGTGAAAGAACAAACATGATCTTTCAGTCACCTCTATATTCCTCTTTCCACAAGGAATAAGGGGGCTTCCAAAAGAAGGTTTTTTCTGACCTTTGGTCCAGTCTAGACAGACCAAGTGTTGGAAAAACCTCTTCCTACAGAAGAATTGGGGGGAAAAAAGCAGTGGTATAAGGGTTGGGGATAGCAAGTGGAAAAGAGGAGAATGGAGAGGGCGGGGCTTCGAGGAAGGGGCGGGGTGGTAGATCTTGGCTTGTTCTGTCATTTAAAAAGTCATCTTGGGTGTGAAAAGGCTGGAGACCACTGGTTTAAATAAAGTGTATACTATGATAAATTGCTATATAAGTAGATATGCAGAGTAACATAAAATACCTATTTTGCAGTTTCGTCCCTAAAGCTGTCATTAATGCATTAAAAAACCCTAACGTGAATTACTTTTTATTTTACTACATGGTTTTAAGGATCTAAAATGGGTTGTATGCCATTCAATTTAAAGTAGATCAAGTGACAAGAACCTATACCAGCATTCCATTTAATTTCATTACACTTTACTAAATGAAGTAATAATGCTTTCAGTTTTCCCGAAATAACCTGTACAACAATATATTCAGCTCTGTCCAAGGATGAATAAAACACTTTCACTCATGAGCTATGTTTACAATACTATTTTGAAAGGAATAAATATAAAAGCATACTTACAGATTGTATATCTTGTAATGGTTTTTATGTTTTGAATCCAAAAACCTGAGCAAGAGAAAAGGCAATTTATATGAATGTGTTTTGGTTATTACTGTTTCAAAGATGTTAATATTTTTAAAATACAAGAAAATGCTTTCATATAAATGTAAAACTAAGCACTTCTGAGTTTGAAATTCAGGCTACTCCCACACACCATCTCTTCATACAAGTCATGGGGCCCAATCCTGCACATCGTGCTCATACAAATAGCCCCAGTTGTTTCAACAGGACTACTTGCCTAAGTGAAGGCAGGTTTTAGATCCATGTGGTTTGCTACCAATTTCATTTAATAATCATGCTCAATTTGTCAACTACAATAATTTTTAAAAATGTAATGAGTTTTAGGTTAACTTTTTTTTACCAAAAGGATGTCTAGTTAATAAAAAACAATTTATAATATTTACTTCCAATGTAATCATGTACACCGAGTATTTAACAGAAACATTGTTTCTCAAACGTCTCTTAAGTTTACTGATGCAGCTGTACTGATAAACCAATCAACTATAAAGATCGTAAAAACACAAGAACAGCCAAACTGGCTCGGACAAATGGTCCATTCATCTCAGTATCTGTCTTCAAACAGAGGCCAACAAGTCAGAGGAAAGGAACAGAACAGATACTCATCATGTCACCTATTCCCAGCATTTGGCAGAAGCAGAAGGTAGGTACACTTCAGAGCATAGTTTGGCATTCCTCTTCATCTTGGCTAATTCTCTCTGATGACCCATACTCCATGAATTTATCTAGTTCTTTTCTAACCCCATTAGTCTCCTTCACAACATTCTCACACAAGGAGTTCCACAAATCAATTATGCACTGTATGAAGAAATACTTCCCTTAGTTTGTGTTTCAAACCTGCTGCCTATTAACTGAAGGAGTAAAACACCTACTTGTTCACTTTCTCCACACCATTCATGATTTTACAGACCTCTCATAGCCCCCCTTAGCTATCTCTTTTCCAAGCTGAACAGTTTTACTAATCTTGCCTCATAAAAGCTGTTTCATTCCTTTAGTAGTTTTTAATGTCCTTTTTTGTATCTTTTCCAACAATATACCTTTTTGAGATGATGTGACCAGATGTGGGCATACCATGGATGTATACAGAAGCAATACATTTTCAGTCTTATTTATCTACCCTTTTCCTAATTATTCTAACATTAACTTTTCTCACTGCCACTGTACATTGAGTGGATGTTTTCAGAGAACTAGTCACACCGACTCCAAGATCTCTAAGTGATAACAGCCCCTGGGGGGAGGGGGGACTCTTGTGCATTTCAAAGGGTAAGTGCCCTCCTGGAGCCAGCAGGACTTCCTGCAGGCCCTGGGCTGCATGTGGAGTTCCTGTTGGGGCTCTTGTACATTTCAAAGAAGAAATGCGCAAGTGCCTATCAACTAGTCCAGTAGCTGATGAAAATTCCATCAACTACTCAACTAGTACATTACTCATTAGTTAGCATTCTTAACACGCAGTCCACAGCTTAAGCTCAGCTCCCTCCCCCCCTCTCCCCCACCTTTGCTGTGAGATGCAAAAACAAGCTCCGGCTCCTGCTCACCGGGCCCTTTCAAATGTTCTGAGCAGTTGCACTCAGCTAAGGCAGAGTGACTGGCCAGTCACAGGAGGTGGAGCTACAGACTCTGAAAAGGCTCAAGCCATGCTCCTTGCCTTCCTCCTCTCCCTCAAAGAGAGTCAGTCACCAGCACTTATTTATGGTGGCTCTGAGTAACACACATACGCTACAAGCTGTTCCTTATGCCCCTTCTCCTTGTGCGCCCTTGAGGGGAAAGAAAGGGAAGGCAGCCTGCTCGGAACTTCAGCATGCAGGAGGAGGTGGCCACTGCCTCCCTTGTGGCTGGCAGCTGCACTCGTCCTAGGGTGCAGGGAGTCTCCCTCCTACACTGTCACTAGTCGGACACCACCTCCACCTGCACTCAGCCTGCACAGGGGTGGGGTGGGGCAAATGACAGTGGGGACATGAGTGGGAATGCCTCATTCCAGCTGCTCCCTGTTATGTGTGAGGTATGCGCACCAAGCTCATGGGGAGAGGAAGAGCAAACAGCTCCGTGCGCTGTTCTCTCAGCATGAACCTGCTTCTTCGGCCTCCCTCTGTGAACCTGTCTGGCAGGGAAGGTTGGCGCTTGCTTTACCAACTCCCTGCCTCCCCCCCACACTGGCTGCAGGCTTTCCCCACTGCTGCCACTTTCCAGCCAATGGGAGCAACAGGGGCCCAAAGCCAGGTAAGTGTTCCCCCTCATGCCCAGGACCCTTCACCCCAATCCCCCTCACCCTTCCCCCGCCAAGACCCAACACATCCAGCTTGCTCCTACATCCTGGCAAGAAGGCCAAGGCGCCGTGGACCGCACCCACATGGGATGCCACTCCAGCAGCGCTGGGCACCCCAGGGTCATCCGCCATGCCCATTTACCTGAACTATCCCTTGAGCCATCCTGACCTTGGCCTGTGCTGGCAATCCAGCACTGGCTTCCTGCAGGACTGGCAGAAGCTCCATGGCTCCACGCCACTTCCAGGGAAATGCATGTGTGCGTTGCTCCTCCCCTCCTCACAGGAAAAGCCAGAATACAGCCCAGGGGCAGGAGACCAAGTGGGGTGCATGGTGGAGAAAGCTCCCGTGGAGCTTTCATGGTGGAGAGTGGCGTGGCACAAAGCAGAGGTTAAATCTTGACACACCACTTGGCAAAGTTTGCTGACTCCTGGACTATACTCTGTTCACATACAGTGCTACTCTTCCACTAGCACAAGGACCACTATTCTGTCCCTCCAAAATATTTTCTACACTGGTATCCCTGTGTCCCCATTGATTATCCTCATTCTATCACTGCAATTAAAAAAAACTTCCAAAATGGATCTAAATAGCCATTATTAACCTTTAACACACTGCCTAAAGAAACCCAATTAGTTCTTTGGGCATAGAGAAAAGGAGGAAGCAAGTTATTTTCTAAGTATGTGAACCAGCATTAATCAGTCACTCTCTCAAACTAGATGAACTTTTTTCCTGTGCTAAAACTCTAGTGACCATTTTGCAATATAATCCTCTACAATTTTACTAAAGTTTCAGATAGCATGAAGATAACCATACTGTGGGATAAATTTGATACTTACACTGATTCAAGTGAGCGCCAATCTTAGACAATCATGTTTTTATAATGTGATACAATCAAAATGTCGAAGTCCTTCAAACTGGTTTAATTACATTGCAGGGTACATTTCTTTTAAAGATCACAAGTTACAGAAGTTAAAGACACATTGTCAGAACAAGACTAGCTTTTTAATTGCTTATGGGGGGGGGGAGGTGTTACATGTTTTATCTATATTGCAGAAGCCACCATAAATAAATGAAACTGGAAATTTAAAAATAAAATTAATATTCTCACAAACTGCAGTTTCGGTGGACTAGTTTATTTCACTGTTTCCTATTTCATTTTGATCTTGTGCACAAGCATAACTTTGACATACTTGAGCTGTAAAACCTAAAGGGAAATTCTGATCTATTTTTAAAGTAATAGTGGTATTTTTTCCTATTAATCTTAGATTTTGTAAAAATTCTAATGAAGTCTAACTTTAATCCAGTTTCCCTTTAAGTGTCCTTCATTTACCACAGGAACAAAGAAGGTCCACAGCAAAGTGAGGAACAGAACCCATGAAATTTTAAGTGATACCTCAGAAAATGTAAGTAGGATCATCAAGTTTTCCTTGGTTTTTTTTCTGGTCAGCTAATGCCTCTGTCCAAACACCATTAAGGTAGAAGAGAAAAGTCTCTTTTCTACACACTTCATGCAGCAGTTCTAAGAACTAAACTATAACCATGATACACCAAAAGTTCCATGGTTATATATGATGTGTCACCTGACAATGTTCAATAAGAAACAGCATACAAGTGTTCACACTTAACAAAGTGTGTTTGCACATCAGCCAGAAAGAATTAAATAAGCCATGGCAGAACATGCTGTTCAAATTGAAAAGAAACATGAGCTGCTAAAATCCTGGAAAGCTCAAGCAAAAACAAGCTCTAGTTATCAGTCATAATACTCCAGAACCACCTCTGTGGTTAAACCGATGCGTTAAAATAAGAACAGATGTGAGTACAGCAGTGAATCCTAGACTGCGATTTCACCTACAGAAAAATATTTTAGATGACTGCTACAACTGGCACTTTTGTATACAGTTTCGAGGGAGGAGAACTTAATCAACAGGCATTGATCCCTAGAGATGACCACACAAGGTTAGAGTTGGGCGACAAAGAGGGAGAAGCTGGCACTGTTTCCGTCATAAATTAATGACTTTGTGGATGAGTTTCCTATCAAATAAGACTTAACCTAAGCACTAAATTCACAAAATTAAAAAGCCTCTAGGCAGCACTACAAGAAACTTAAAAGTAACAGCTTCTATTCTTAAAGATGTAGAGTAATGGTAAGTTACTTCACTTCCTTCATAACAGTTGTTCAAAATGGGTTGCTCGTATCTATTCCAATTAGGTATGCATGGACTTCATGCACTGTTGGCAGAAAGTTTTATCCTAGCTACAATCTGTTGGGTCAGCTGTGGAGCCCCCTAGAATGGCACTAGTGCGATGCCCTTTATATAACTCTGCTGACCCAACTGCCCTCAGTTCCCCACTACTGGACTATCCAGCAAGAAGGAAGAAAGGTGGGCATGGAATAAATATGAGCAACACATCTCAGGACGACAGTTATGAAGGTGAGTAACCATTTTTTGAAATCTGAGTGCTTGTTCACATCTATTCCAATTTAGTGATTCACAAGCTTTACGCAGGAGGAGAGCTCAGAATCAGCGCATGACTGATGTGACAACTACAATACCAAAATCTGCATTTTTTTCTGGATTGTTGCATGGTGACATAGTGGATTGTGAAGGTATGTACATAAGACCAAGTTTCAGCCCTATAGATCTCCTGAAATAGTATAAGCCAAAAAAGCTGCTGAAGAGACCTGCGCTCGCAAGGAATGCGCCATGAGAGGTGATGGGGAGA